GTTGTTGTTCAGTCGCACAGTCGAGTCCGACTCTTCGCGACCCCATGGACCAGCTCCCGCCAGGCCCTCCTGTCTTCCGCCGTCCTCTGAAGCTGGCTCAATTTCATGTTCGTTGCATCGATGACACTGTCTAACCATCTCATCCTTTGCCGTCCCCGTCTTCTTTGACCTTCAAAAGTAGCATGTTTTTTAAAAGTGTGTGTGTGTGTGTGTGTGTGTGTGTGTGTGTGGCAGGGCCAGAGATGGTCCTCCTGGCTGAATGAGGGCCAGAAGTGGGGCGGCCGGAAGCAGGGGGCGGGGCTTCATCATGTGCCCCGCCCCCTGTACCTCACCTGGGGGAACTGCGATCCCCCGCGATCCCCCCCAAAATGACCTCTGCTCTAAACCACCCTGAGGGATGAGAAGTACCCAGGCTCCACCTACCTTAAAGTCACTCAAAGCCAGCCTAGAAACCCCTTCCCTTACTTACAGGCAGGCCACAGCATCGTGAGCAAGGGCACTCTGCGTAGGGGCAAAAATCTAGTCCACCAAGACCACCAAGATTTCCAGGGTGTAAGCTTTCAAGAGTCAAAGTGCACTTCGTTAGATACCTACGTTTCTGATGAAGGGAGCTTTGAGCCAGTGTGGTGTCATGTCACATTTGCACTTATTTCCACTCTTCTCCCGAATGAGGGCCCAAAGTGTCTTAAGAACATGGCTCTCCTCTCGTCAGTTTTATCCTCCCAACAACCACCTGGTGAGGTAGGTCAGGCTGAGAGTGTGTGACTGGCCCAAGGTCACCCAGCGAGTTTCCACAGCAGAGTGGGGATTTGAATCTGGCTCTCCAAGATCCTAGTCTGCAACTGTCCTCTACGCCACCCCTGCTCTAGTCTGCGCTCGTGAGATGTTTGAAACCATCACCTTGAGGTGATACATGGGCTCAGATACAAAACTCAGCTGGGAAAGATGGCCAACATGGCTACCCACCTGAAGCTATCTGCTTATGGTCAGTGATGCACCTTCTTTGCAATCCTGGCTCTGAAAAAAAGCTTGAATGTGCGCACGCGCGCACACACATGTACAGACACTCCCTTCCCCAGAAATGGCCACTCCTTCCTATCCTGAGAAGCAGTAGGGTTTTCAGCTTGCCCATACCTTGTGCCCTTTGGCTCTAGGCCCAGATGCTGGGGGGGGGGAGGCAAGGGAGAACAGGGGCCTTGGCGGAAGCAGGGGGCGGGGCTTCATCATGTGCCCCGCCCCCTGTACCTCACCTGGGGGGACTGCGATCCCCCGCGATCCCCCCCAAAATGACCTCTGCTCTAAACCACCCTGAGGGATGAGAAGTACTCAGGCTCCACCTACCTTAAAGTCACTCAAAGCCAGCCTAGAAACCCCTTCCCTTACTAACAGGCAGGCCACAGCATTGTGAGCAAGGGCACTCTGTGTATGGGCAAAAATCTAGTCCACCAAGATTTCCAGGGTGTAAGCGTTCAAGAGTCAAAGTCCACTTCGTCAGAGCCTTACGTTTCTGACGAAGGGAGCTTTGAGCCAGCGTGGTGTAGCGTTTATGAGCTGCGGACTCTAAACTGGGGAAATGGGTTGGATTCCCCACTCTTCCACATGCAGCCTGCTGGGTGACCTTGGGCCAGTCACAGTTCTCCCTCAGAGCTTTCTCAGCCCCACCTACCTCACGCGGTGTGGGAAGAGGAGAGGAAGGAGATTGTAAGCCGCTCTGAGACTCCTTCAGGTAGTGAAGAGAGTATAAAACCAACTCTTCTTCTTTTTCCTGAAAGCTTACACCCTGGGAATTTTGCTGGTCTCTAAGGGGCTCCTAGGAGCTGCGGTGGCTCAAGTGGTTAAGACGCTGAACTGCAGGCTGTGGAAGGTCGGTAGTTCAGCAGTTCGAGACCCGGGTTGCAACATGACGGAGTGAGCTCCCGTCTCTAGTTCCAGCTCCTGCAAACCTAGAATTTCGAAAGCAAGACATTGCAAGTAGATAAATAAGGGGCCACTTTAGTGGGAAGGGAACAGTGTTCCGTGCGCCTTGGTGTTTAGTCATTCCGGCCACATGACCACGGAAGTCTTCGGACAGCGCCGGCTCTTCGGCTTTGGAACTGAGATGAGCACTGCAACCCTAGAGTCGGACTCGACTGGCTTTCGGCAAGGGAACCATTACCTTTACTTTTAAGGGGCTCCTGGACTCGAATCTTGGCTCTTCTACTGCGGACCAACATGGCTACCCACCTGAAACTATCTGCTTATGGTCAGTGATGCACCTTCTTTGCAATCCTGGCTCTGAAAAGAAGCTTGAATGTGCGCACGCGTGCACACATGTACAGACACCCCCCCTCCCCACAAAAGGACACTCCTTCCTATCCTGAGACGCAGTGGGGTTTTCAGCTTGCCCATACCTTGTGCCCTTTGGCTCTAGGCCCAGATGCTGGGGGGGCGGGGGGAGGCAAGGGAGAACAGGGGCCTTGGGCGTGGTTATTCACAGGCAAGAGCGCAGCATTCTACACATGCACAGAGAGGAGAGCAGGACAGATGCTGCTCAGATTTCTTGCCTGTGGTTCTCACTTGTCACAACCGACATGTGGGGCAGAAGGGAAGGGGGGGGAGAACAGGACACGAGAGAGAGAGAGAGAGAGAGAGAGAGAGAGAGAGAGAGAGAGAG